CGGGGCTCCCGCCCGCCCGCCCGCTCGCTCGCACACAGCGGAACGCTGTGACCCCCGACCCCGCCAGCACCTCGGCTTACCGGCTCGCCCACCGCCTGACACGCCGCGCCGGTGCCTCCATATCCCAGAAGCCAGCACCTAGCGGGTCAACCTCCTGCCCTCCCGCGATTGGCTGGCAGGGCGGGAGCCCCACTTCCTGATTGGCTGGACTCCCGCAGCGGCCGGGCTGCGTGGCGGGCGGACTGGGCGCGGAGGCTCCGCCCACCCATGCTGGATCTGGGGGCGGGGTCCGCTGGGGAGGCGGAGCCTGTGGGGGCGGGGTCGAGCCGGAGGCGTGGCCCGGCTCCAGCCCTGCAGTGCAAACCTACCGCGTTCCTCAGGTAGGCGACTCCCCAGCCCGGGAATGCTAGGGACCTTTAAATTTTTGTCATAGTTCCCGCCATCTTTTTTTAGGTCACTACAAGCCTGTTTCCTCCTAAGAGATGATGACCTCGAGATACAGCTACAACCGGTAATAAGGCACCACGGCAGTCCCTTTTCTTCTGGCTGCTCGGGCCAAGAACACCCCACGTCTGGGAGGAACCGCGGCACCTGGACCAGCGGAGCCAGTTCGGCCGCATCAGTGGTTCTCCTTCCAAGCCTCTCAGGGAGCTTTTCTCCATCCCACCTAGCTGTGTCTTCTCCCCACACCCTGTCCTGCCTGCCCCAAAGCAGTCCCGCTCCATCCCCGGCCTCACACCCCAGCCTCCTTCTCTGTAATACATGGCCTGACAAGTCCCCCAACTTCCCCCCAAGTTCTAAGAGCTACCAAAACCTTTTTTTTTTCCCCTCCCGATTTCCCCTACTGGCTACAGCAGTAGAGACGACAGCGCTGTTTCCTTCATGTAGAAACTGCGGTGAGAAATGTAAGAACGGAGATAGGAAGAAAGCACAAACCCACAAAACAAACAAACAAACAAACATATGATGACAACCAAAGCAAACTCGGGACAAAAGGGAAAAGCCAGACTTCCACACCCTGGCAAGGGCTGCTGCTTTCCACAGAGTGGTCTCCTGAAAGAAGAGAAAACGCACAGGTTAGTTCTGGACCATCGCCCTCTAGCCCAGCACCTCTCCTCTGGGACCCTCGGTTGCCTCTAGGAAAAGAAAAGGGTCGGGGCTGTTTGTGTCAGCTTCCAGGTGTGCTCGGCTGGCCCGCGTCCCCGCCACTGGCTGCCCACTCACTTAGCTCACAGTTGGGAGCAGGTGCTGCTGCACTCGGCTGCCTCTTCCCCATGGTGCAGAACTGGTTTGGCTAATCCTGGAGCCTCGCAGCCTCTATATATGCGGACTAGTGCGCCTCCCTTGGTTAGAAACGAGACTTGAGGTAGGTCCAGACTGAGGAAAAACTTCAAACCGCACCCTCCGAAGCATAATCAAATTTCATCTTTGACCGGCCATGAAAGGGAAGCGCTGTATTTCTGCCACTCCTAGTTATTAATAATATTAATTGAGTTCAAGTTTTCTTCTGAGATTTCATTTCTGAGCCATTCCGAAGGGCAGGACCTAGAGGCAATGGGCGCTGGTGGCTGAAATGGGTGGGTGGAGGGAACTGCTTTCCTCTGGCCGCCACTCCCTCCCCTGGGAGTCAAGCTGGTTCGGGGACTAGGACTCTGCCCCTCTGAGACGGGAGGTAAAACCAATTAACCCAAAGCCTGACAGTTCGCATGTATTTTCCACGTAGTACGTGCAATACTGATGCAATTATGAGGCGTCTCAAAGTTATAGGTGGAAATGCCGCCTGGTCTATTCTCCAGATCTGAAGGAGCCGAGGGCATGAGCTGGTCAATCAGTGATCAGGAGGCAGACAACAAAGTGAGGCAGATCAGAACTTAGTACCCGATGGAAAAGAAAAGAGGCCTGAGGCAGCAAAACAGAAATCTAGGGCAGGAATTTCTCGGTGTGGAAGGAGGGGAGCTTGAGGCATGGGGGAAATTTGCCTCCTGGAAACAACTGAGACTATCTAAGAATAAATGGAAAGAAACGCAGTTGGCTCAAATTGCCAAGCAAGGCTGCACGGTGAAGCATGGCAATGCTAGGAACCAGGGATTTTCTGAGCAGCACCCGGATGAAAGCCCCGGTGCTGGGCTCGCTCAGCCTACCTTAAGATGCGATCTGCTCCCAATCCTACTTGCTATCAGACCGTCCCCCAAGGCACAGTTGCCTCTGCAGATTAAGCCCGGGACAAGTTGTCCTCCTCATAAATGGTACCTCATAAAAAGTACCCATCCATGAAATAAAATTTGGCAGAGAAAAGATTTGAATTTATGATTTCTGAAAGGAGACGCCGGCCCAAGGACATGGCTGAATGGTAGAATGCTCCCCACCGTGTGTGGGGCTCTGGGTCCCATCGATTTACACACATAAATAAATAAATAAATAATCATGCCAGTCATGGAAATAAATAAATAAATAAATAAATAATCATGCCAGTCATGGAAATAAATAATAAAAAATCATGCCAGTCATGGTGATGTGCGCCTTTAATCCCAGAAAAGGTAGAGATGGATAGATCTCTGAATTTGAGCTAGCCTGGTCTACAGAGCACAGCCAGGGCTACACAGAGAAACCTTTCTGTCTTGGAAAAAAACAAGCAACCAAAACAGAAAAGTCAAGAAAGCAGTAATGGGTTTTACGGAACAATCTTCAGGCTTTTCTTCCAACATACTAACTGAACTCTTTTCTATATACACTGTTTCACACTTGACAAACACCCATCAATCCTCACAAAATCGTGAGGCAGGAACTATTATCTTCAGTTGGAAGATTAATCAGTAATTTACGAGGGTTAAGTAATGTGCCTAAAAGACACATGGTTAGCCAGCAAAGCTAGACTGCAAACATAACTCCTGTAGATCTGGCAGCCCGCACTCAGTGCCGGCTCCGTCTTGTGTACTCTCCACTCTCTTCCATTGACATCTAGCTCAAAGACATCACCAAGTGGGTCACGTGACAACAGTGAGAACACTTTTCTGCATAGATGGCAGTAGCTATGGGCAGCATTTGTTAATAGGGCTCCCCCATCCCACAAGAGTCAGGGTTTCTGTGTAGCCCTGGCTGTCCTGGAACCTGCTCTGTAGACCAGGCTGGTCTTGAGATCACAGAGATCTGCCTGCCTCTGCCTCTGCCTCTTGAGAGCTGGGATTAAAGGCTTGTGCTGTCACCAAAACCGCCACCGCTACTATGCCGCCCGCCGCCGCCGCCGCCGCCGCCGCCACCACCACCACCACCACCACCACCCTGGCCATGCCCAGCTCTTAATATGGATTTAAAAAAGAAAAAAAAAAGGCTTTATTTTAATCATGTGTATAATGTGTAAAAATCCCTAAAGAATTCTATTATGTGTATACACGTGTGTCTGTGTGTGCATGAGTCTGGACAGTGCCTGCAGAGGACGCCTAACTCCCTGGAATTGCTCACTGTGGGCGCTGGAAACTAGCCTGGGTCCTCTGGAAGAGCAGTCTCTCCAGCCCAGTGTGAACCTTATTGCATGTACCTTTTATTTAAGGGGTCCTTTCTAAGTTTTCCATCTACACACTCCAAGTGGTTTTTTGTTTTGTTTTGTTTTTGTTTTTTCATGCTTTTATTTTCTCTATGACTTTCTAAAATTAGCAACTATAGCCATTGACCATTTTTTTCCCTGAGACAGGGTTTCTCTTGTGTAGCTTTGCGCCTTCCCTGGAACTCACTTTGTAGCCCAGGTTGGCCTCAAACTCACAGAGATCCACCTGCCTCTGCCTCCCGAGTGCTGGGATTAAAGGCGTGTGCCACCACTGCCCAGCTGCCTTTGACCTTTACCTGGAAAATTCTTCAGGGTTCCTCAAAATACCCATGGGGCCAAAGAGATAATAGCTCAGCAGGAAGTGTTTGCAGTGAAAGCTGGATGACCTGAGTTTGAGCCTAGGAACTCATATAAAGGCAGAAACCGAGAACAAACTCCCCAGTATTGTCTCTGACCTCCACACATGCACACCATACACCCCAATACAATAGTAATATATACATTTAAAAAGCAACCTAAGCTGGGTGGTGGTGGCGGCAGCCCATGCCTTTAATCCCAGTACTTGGAAGGCAGAGCAAGGCGGATCTCTGTGAGTTTGAGGTCAACCTGGTCTACAGAGCGAGATTCAGAACAGGCACCAAAACTACACAGAGAAACGCCCCCCCCCCCAAAAAAAATCAGCTCTTAAGTCAGGTGGTGGTGGCGGCGGCGGCGGCGGCGGCGGCGGCGGCGGCGGCGCACGCCTTTAATCCCAGTACTTGGGAGGCAGAGGCCGGTGGATCTCTGTGAGTTGGAGACCAACCAGCCTGGTCTACAGAGTGAGACCCAGGACAGCCAGGGCTACACAGAGAAACCCTGTTTCAAAACAGAACAAACCAACAAAAGCAGCTCTGGGATTGTCCTCTGAGTTCTCTCGGCGGCCGCCGGGCTGGCCACATTAATGACTCTTAAATTCCATTTGCTACCTGAGCATGGGGAGCCCGGGGTGAACGTACAGCGAGAGTGAAGGTGTAGCATTGACAAGGACCCCAAGGCCTCAGACCCACGGGAGGTGGCAAAGCTCCCTCGGGTCCCTGTGGGAATGTTGACTGAACAGACAGAAAGCTGGAGGCTCACAGAGACTGCTCCCCTGCAGAAACCTCCCACCTAGCCAGCTAACCTGGCCTTTCCTCCTCTGCTTAGGTAATCATCAAGCTGAGGTTCTGGGCTGCTGCACAGCTGGTGGTGTGTCAGAGCTGCCCACTCAATCCAGCTGTGTCTGTGTGTCTGCTCTTTAGTCCCTTGTGGCACCTGTCAGGTTCCCAGGACCAAGCCATGCAGGACTTCTAAGCACTTCTCGTTCTGCCTAACAAATTAACTCATTTTATAAACATTTCCTGAGAACCTAGGCTCCCAGCACAGGGGGAAAGCTACACACACATTAAGTGGTAATAGAAGCTCAGGGCATCACTGATTATTGTTTTTGTGCTTTTTCTCCCAATAAGTTGAGCTTTCAGTGGAGAAGATTGAGCTACATGAGTCGTCACACACCTTTGATCTCAGTCTGGAAATCATTGTGTAGAAACTCACTTTATAGACCAGGCTGGCCCCCAGCTCACGGAGATCCACCTCCTGACCTCTGCCTCCTGAGTGCTGGAATTGAAGCTGTGTGCCGGCACATGGCTGTGACGGACTTACTGTTCCAGTGCTGCTGGCAGATGGCCTCCGGGTGTCTGGTCCCAACCCATTCCTCACAGCCTGCCTCCAGTGGGAATGGTCCTACACAGTTCAACTGCTCCTGACCAGTCTTGCTTCCTTCCATTCCCTCATTACCAATCCCGAGTTTTCTTCCTAATAAGCTTCCTGCGGGCACGGTCTTGGGGTTGGCTCCCTATGACTTCTTCCAGTGACTCAAGATCAGCGCTAGCTGGAACAGTGACCTGCACTCACTCTTCATCTGCTTCTCCACCCTTTGTGACATTCTGGAAATCCCTCTTTGAAATGAGATCGTTGAGTCCATCTACAGCAGAACCCCGACTTTTGCCATATGTGCATCCAAGATGCCTAAGTGTTCCTCTTCTAGCTGTGCTTCTGACTGCCACCATCCTGTGCCTCTGGCTGCACCCCTGGATGCCACCAACCATCCTGTGCCTCTGGCTGCCCCCCCCTTCCTATTTCTTTGCTGCTTCTCCTCTGCTCCTCACATGGAGGCATTCTTTAGGCTTGACTCATAGTCCTCTTCTGATTTCCACAGTGTCTACACCAGCCCTAGAGACCTTCCAGGCAAAGGATGAAGCTGTAGAAAGAACATCTTAAGGTAAGACTGAGCTGAATTCCAAGTCAGTCTGTTTCTTACATGTGTTTCTTTGCTTTCTATGAGATAGGTTCTCATGTAGCCAAGGTTGGTCTTGAACTCCTGACATAGATGAGGCTGACCTTGAACTCGTGATCCTCCAACCTTCACCTCCCAAGTGCTAGTCTAGAGTGGCATGCTTATGCACCGTGGCTAGTTTGCTTCGTTTCTCCATCTGTAGGGAGTGGATACCTCATGGGGATGGTTTTAGTTTTCAGATACTCCAGTGTGGTTTCTATGCTCTGGCCAGGGTTCACTGGGATAAGTCCTTACTCTTGGGTATCATGTCTCTTAGACACTCCTACCGCAGAGCATCCTTCCATGACCCCAGCACCTGCAGAAAGCTGTCCTAGAACACGGTACTGTGTCCTGCCTGCCCCCAACACCAGCCATGGATCAACTGCAATGCTCAGCACTCCTCTCTCCACACCAGCCCTCTGCTCTGCATACCACTGCATCCTTGGGGAAGATGCTGAGGCTCCCTTCCTAACCACAGCTCTCCTTCACCTCTGCGGTGATGGCTCCAGAATGCCACACTGCGGCTTCTCTCAGGAGAAGCAATAGCCCATGCGCAATCCTTTTCTTCCCAGATCTCCAGCTTCCGTCCACACTGACACATCCCAGGTGATCCGCTGCGCACACACCAGCCGGTTCTTAGCATTTCCCCGGTCTCCTGTCTCTAAGTGTCAAGCCTGTAAGTTCTCACAGGGTCCTCTTCCTCCTTCATATCAAATAATGCCAGCCACTAATACTCTGTCCTAACGAGACCAGTTTTCTTCTCCATTCCCATCGTTCCCTTCTTCCCTTAGAGTTTCTATGGCTGTGATGAACACCACGCCCAAACAAACTTGGGGAGGAAAGGGTTTATTTCAGCTTATAACTCTCAGGTCACACTCTAGCACCAAGGGAAGTCAGGGCAGGAACTTGAAGCAGGAGCTGATACAGAGAAGTGCTATTTACTGACTTGTTCCTCCCGGCTTGTTCAGTGGCCCTTCCCCATCAATCATTAATCCAGAAAATGCCTTACAGACTGGCCTACAGGCAATCTGATGGAGGCGTTTTGTCAACTGAGATTTCTCTTCCCAGATAACTCTAACTTGTGTCAAGTGGACAAAAGCGAACCAGGACACTGCTCTTAATGACTGAAATGTCTCTTTGATCAGCTTATCTCCCTTACCCATTTAGAAAGGTTTAGTGGTTCCCAAATCGCTTACAGAGAGAAGGAAGAGATGTGAGCTCACAGTGAATGCCTGTTTCCTGAAAATGTGTGTGCATTGGGGTGGGGGTGGGCGTGTTACATTTTTTTTTTGACAAGTTCTCACTATTCAGTTCAGGCTGCCTTCAAATTTGCAATCCTCCTGCCTCAGACTCCTAAGTGCCAGAATTATGGGCATGCACCACCATGCCATCTCCAGATCCCCCACCACGCCACCTCCAGATCCCCACCACGCCACCTCCAGATCCCCACCACGCCTTCTCCAGATCCCCACCACACCATGTCCAGATCCCCACC